AATGAGATACAAAACTTTGTAGATGCTAGGTTCATTTGCCCTCATGAGGCAGCTTGGAGGATATTCGACTTTCACATCCATCATCGAAATCCTGCCGTGCAAGTGCTAGCAGTTCATTTGGAAAACATGCAAACAGTTACGTTTAAGGACAAACAACTATTACAAGATGTTGTTGATGATCCAATGATAAAGAAAACAACTCTTACACAATGGCTAAAAAACAATCAGATTGATGACAGCGGTCATCATCTTACTTATCTTGATTATCTATCAAGATATAAATGATTGCTCGAGGGAAGGATTGGTGTCATAGAAAGTCAAAGAAGACGCCTCCTACTGGTAGATTAATCTATATTCATCAGACATGTGGTGAGCTCTTTTATCTAAGGATGCTTCTCAGTCACCAGGTTGATGTCAGACATTTAATGATATCAAGACAGTAGGCGATGTCATATTTCCAACCTATCGTGCTGCATGCGAACAATTGGGCCTGCTTGGTGATGACAAAGAATGGACATATGCATTCGATGATGCTTCTAGCTGGACAACTGCTGAAGAACTCAGATCCCTGTTTGCTCACATGCTTATATTTTGTGATGTTGCAGATCCTCTTGCTCTATGGATAAAATAATGGCGGCGAATGAGTGATGAAATAGTCCAAAGAACCGTTGCAGATTCACATGTTGTGAACTTACATGTTAATGAAGTTGACTTGCAACAATATGTCTTATATGAGTTAGAGATCTTGCTAAATTCTAATAACAATTATTCCTCACTTTGTGATTATGGTTTGCCTATGCCTCCACCGTACTTGCTTGCAGAATTAAAAAAATAAATTGCTCATGGAAGAGAGAAATTATGATAGAGTTTCTCTGAGCCAAAAAAAGGAAGTTATGGTGTCTGCGCTTAATTCCGAGCAACATATTATTTATGAGACTGTTATGAAAGCTTCTTTGCAAAACCATCAACTGGTTATGTTTGTTTATGGACATGGTGGTACCGGTAAAACATTCCTTTGGACAACAATCATTTCTGCGCTCAGGTCTGCTGAGAAAATTGTTTTAGCAGTTGCATCTTCTGGTATTGCGTCTCTTTTACTGCCCTCAGGAAGAACAACACCTTCTCGATTCAAGATTCCATCGGACCATACAAATAACTCCATCTGTAGCATAAGGAAAAACACACAGCTTGCTCGTTTGCTTAGTGAAACTGCACTGGTTATTTCGGACGAGACACCAATGACAGATCGAAGATGCTTTGAGGCATTAGATAAGACACTTAAAGATATACTTAACGAGCCAACGCAACCTTTTGGTGGAAAATCAGTGCTGTTGGGTGGGGATTTCAGACAAAATTTACCTGTAAAACCTAAAGGGAGCAAGAGAGACATCATAGAGTCATCTATAGTTGAATCGTCAATATGGAGCCATTTCAAAGTATGTAAATTATCAAAAAATATGAGGCTTCTTCAACCTAATCTAAGTACCAAAGAAAAAGAAGAAATTGCTGCTTTTTCATCATGGTTGTTGCAGACAGGAGATGGACATGTTGGTGTAGATGATGAAGATGATCCTACTGACACCAAATGGGTAGAGATACCAGAAAAATATGTCATACCAGATCATGAAGATGCTCTTAAGGATTTAGTTCTCTTTATATATGACGAAGACATTTTTCATAATCCAACAGCAACCATGTTCTGTGACAAAGCCATTGTTTGCCCTAAAAACGAAACTGCAGATGAAATTAACAACCTCATATTGTGTAATCTGCCAGGGAAACCTATTGTCTATCTAAGTTTCGACTCAATTATTCCACATGCAAATGATAGAGGGGATATGGAGGTTCTTTATCCGTCTGAATATTTGAACCTACTTAACTTTAGTGGTTTCCCTACTCACCGTCTTCAACTAAAAGTTGGTATTCTAATCATGTTACTCCGCAACATGAATCAGATGGAAGGGCTCTGCAATGGAACTAGGATGGTCATCACACAGCTTCTACCAAGACTTATTCAGGCAGAAGTCATCACTGGAGTTCAGATAGGCCACAAAGTTTATATACCTCGAATCACTTTGAATCATACTGATAAAGAATTACCATTCATTTTCAAAAGAAAGCAATTCCCGATCAGAGTTTGTTATGCCATGACGATCAACAAGAGCCAAGGCCAGTCTTTAAACAAGATAGGAATTTATCTTCCTCGTCCAATTTTCAGCCATGGGCAATTGTACGTTGCACTATCTAGGGCTACATTTGCAGCTGGTCTCAAAATACTGATTAAAAGAAAAGAGAGCCAACCATCGAATTGTACAAAAAATATTGTCTTCTCAAATTTTTTAGCAAAATTAGAAACTTCACAGGTTGGTAATTAAACGCTTTTGTGATTTATTGCTTAAAATGTTAAAACTTAATGAAAACAATTACGTAATGAACATTGTTTGGTACTTAGTATTAGAGTTACTTCACTCAAAAATCAGATTTAACTGAATTTTCATTTCTTGGGAAAAACAAAATTCCTGATTTGAAGTTCTTTCTATTTTAGGCTGTAGATATGGAGCTTCTTCTTCATTGACTTAAAAAAATCACCTTCCGCAGCAGTAGCACCGATGATGTTGGTAATATTGAAGTTTGAAGATAGAAGTGGAAGAGATCAAACAGTTGCAAGGTAATTATGTGACATAATTTTATATAATATATAAGTAATAGAGAAAAAATGTAAGTAAAATATCTTTATTGGTTATGTTTTGAAATTATATAAGTAATAGGAAAAGAATGTACAGACTTATAAACCCCTCCTATTGCTTTTTTGGTTTTTTTAGTGCTAATGATGTTGCACTCTTCCATAGGTTTATATAACCAAGAGAACTTTTATTTTATTTTTTCTTGGTAGTCTTTGGTGTTCTACTTTTAATGTACAACAAGAATACAGGTCAGAATTATCAAAAACAGGTAACCGATGTGTCATTTACTTTTTTACCCTTCATGCTTTTGAGTCTTTTTTGGTTTTGGTCCAAAAAATGGTCTCTTTCCCTTTTCATTGTTTCAAGTAATTAACCTCATTGACGTGGCTTGCACCTGCACACATGGGCTTTTTGGTCTTTTCCTTCTTTATAATAAAAATTACATGTGTAAGGCACATGAAAGGGGTAAATAGACAAAAAAAAATATTATGAAACACTTAAATAGGGACCAAAAAAGGAAAAAAAAATTGGTTTATTCTATAAATCATGTTTCTTAAAGTTGTTATGCTAATAGAGCAGGAATCTATGTTTTCTTCTATTCTAATTAGAGATTTATGGCTATGAAGATTTCAGGTACTCATATATGATGTTGCACTCTTCCGTGGAGAACCAATGATCATTTTATTACTTTGTACGGTGAAATATTGAAGTGGAAGGCCATGTATTATCCCGTATATTTTTTAGTTTTTAAAATAAAAAAAATTGGTGAACCTATAATACTCGGTAAAATGGTGTTTTTACACTAAAAAAAGAATAATGATCTTTTTGTACATTTTTATAACGTTGTTATGTTTTTAAGTCGTTCTCCGTAATTCCAATACGTTCCACCTAAAATGAAGAAACATTGTTTACAATATTCCTACTAAAAGTAACATTCAGAAAAGTAATATTCAGAAATTCAAACTTGAAACCATGGTTATTTAATTCTAATATTCGTACTCTAGAGCTTTAACAAATAAATTAGAGTTGTTCATAGATGAAACAAAATCTATTTGTTAATTCGTTACATGTATCAATTCAAGTAGAAAATAACCAAATACAAATTCTTTGTCAAAAACCTAAAATTGACTTTATTGCTTTACAACCTGATTAATTATGAGTATTAAATTGACTTTAGGCTTGATAACTATACAAAAAATAAAAGAAACTTAATCACGTTTTTCTTAGATTTATTTTTCTATCTTGTGTTTTAAACCTTAATACAAAAATTAATAACTAAATGATAAACCTTATAACTTAAATTAGATAACAGAAAATTTAAAAATATAAATTAGATGAAAAAAAAATAACGATTCAACCCTTATCCCTAAAATCAACAATTCAATTTATTATTCCTAAAATAAAAAAATTCTATTTATAAAAAAAAGATTATTGCATATAGCAATGCCCATGCTTCACTCACTGTTTCCTCTTTCCCTCACGCAATCTTCCAAGTACGATAGAACCAGTCAGCCTTATCCCTCTTTTCCTCACGCAATCTTCTAGGTACGGTTCTCTTCGATCTCGATTTGGAGATTTTGTGATTTTTCCACCAGCCACTCCTTATTACCAGATAAAACACTTCCTACGAGTTCACTTTTTCCACATATCGGCTTCGTGTCTTCCAGGTTAGTTCTCTTCGTTAATTAATTTTGTTGAATCTATGTTTGCAATATATTCATGCCTAATTATCATATCAATATATTAGTCTTACAAGTTTTTTAATTTTTTTTAAGGTTTTAGTCTCTGAATTATTGATTCTAATGTGATAATGAAATATATATACACAACTACATAAACATTGTCCTTTTATACCTATAGGTACTTATAAAGAAAACGTTTAAAAGCTTAAACCGATTTTTTAATGTTTATTTCTAGAATTGCAAGAAATTTCAAACCAACTTTTAAACACTATCTAGGTAACATGATTTTACAGCCCAAAGTTTAAAAGTATGTTGTCAATTGTTGCTTATTTTTTAAAATTTAGTTTAAAATTTCTTGCATTTTTCTGCATTTACATTCTAACTGTGTTATACAAATAATCTGAAACAAACTTAACATGAATAGTTCATGTGTACAAGTAAAGTTACAGAAAGGTTCCATCTAATAGTGAACTTTTAGTCATTAATTAGTCAACATCATTTGTGTATAAAAGGGTACCTGTAATAATAAACTTACAGGAAGGCTCCCTGTACTAGGAAAAATTCCAATCTTTTATGGGAAAAAAATTAATTGTTGATTTTTCATTTTAATTTGAACTTCACAGATTCTACAAAAATGGATACAACTATGGTAGCAAACTTAAACCCTGCTGATGGAGACAAGCCAATAGAAATAAAAGTCATTAGGAAATGGTTATCATATGGGAAAAAAGTTGAATGTTGCTACATATTCCTTGATAAAAGTGTGAGTGCATTCACCATAATATTATATGCAATTGTGAATTATAATCAATTCTATGTTAGATACTTATACATATACATATAAAACCATTCATTTTTGGCAGAGAGATGCAATAGAAGCATGTGGTTGCTTGGGAGATAAAGGCTACTTTGATTCGATAATTAGGATGGATGGTTGTTACTCTGTATGAAACTACGTGTGTGACAATGCAAATACTTTCTTTGTTACTGTCCCACACAAAACCAAAATCAATCTAGGCAGGGCAGCAAAATTTGAAGAAATACGTGATGAGGGATTTCCTGTGTACTACTTCAATTTTCTTGCATATGGTCAATTAGGTGCAAGGCTTGATAACCATAAGACACTCACAGGTATGTAATACTTACATATATATATATATATATATATATATATATATATATATATATATATATATATATATATATATTTCTTTTAAAATCACAAATTGTTTTATTTGTGTTAAGATTATATCGAAAGAGTTGAAAATGTGTATGAAGTAGTCAGAACTCAAGGAAATGCAATTTTGAAACTCAAACTAGAAAATTTGAGGTATTATCTATCTCATATATCTAACAAAGACCACAGCATATCATATTTAATATCTAAAATATGTATGTTTAGTGGAACAATGATTGAGATAACTTTTTGGGATAAGGCGGCTAACTCATTTGATAAAGAAGCTATTGAATCATTACCTTCTCCTGTTATTGTTGCTATTACTTCAATGAAAGTCACACAGTATCTAGGTACATTTTTCTCATTTTATTGTGTTGAAGCATTTTGCTTTCAAAGTACAATGCTTAATAAAGAAAAACACTTTTTTAAAAAGAAATAGATAGATAAAGTTTAAAGTATTATGCTATATTAGAAAATCAGATTAAAGTACATTCCTATTTCTTGAATTAAGCAACATTTAAAGAAACTGCCCCAACCTTATTATTTTTGCTTATTTTTCTTTTATTTTGTAATTAACAACATTGTTATGTTGGTTTCTTTAATAGGAAATTTGCAATTGACAGCAACTCCAGCCTCATATATTTACATCAACCCCACTATTCTCGAGGCTGCTTCAATGGCTGCTGAGTAAGTTCTTTGTTCATATTTATATAACTTTGTGACATATCTTACAGCTCATTTTCTCTTTTAGGTTTGTCGAACGACATAAGCAAAATCCCGTACTCAAGATAAAATACCAAAAAAGTAAAGATATACATGTCGAAAAGAAAAGAAATAGGTTTCCATTGGTAGACTTGCTATCTCAAAACCCAAACCGTTATGCAGTAAGCCATCAACCTTCTCTTATCTTAAAATATATATACAAATTTTATAGTTTTAAATTTAATATAGATAATATTACAGGGAGCTCAGTTCACTTGCAAAGCATCTCTGGTTAGCATAGATGCAAGCAAGGGTTGGTTTTATAAAGCATGTCATGAATGTCGTAAAAAACTTCAAAAAAGAGGAAACACACTTGCATGCGAAGATCATGATCAAGTTGCTAAACCAAACAATTTGTAAGTACTATCTTTTTTATGTCAACTACTTGAGTATAATCATCTTAACATACATATGTCTAATAATCGTATCAACAAGTTTTTTTATCACAGCATACATCGCAGATGAGACCGCTCAAGCAAAGATAGTCTTTTTTGATGTTGCAGCTAGAATGTTGTTCCAAACAGATTGCAACACACTCATTGATCATCATGGATACACTGATCCCTACACGTTGCCTGCACCCCTCACCATTCTCATAGGCCAGCCAAAAATAATTCAATTCCGATTCACAAGATTTTGTAGGCTGGGTGCTAAAGACTTTGTAGCAGATGCTGTTTTTAAAGATATAGTTTCTCCAGAAAAAGAAAGTCACACAGAAACAGCCATTATCAACCAACCAACTACCTCAGCATCATCAAAAAATAAAAAACACTCACTGCATCAACTGATCCTCCATCTACGGCTTCTGTTACTCCAGCAAAAGCCCTTCAAGAGCATCTCACAACATCATCCATCACACCCGCTTCTGCTGAAACTAAACATCACCAAATGAAATCTGTCCAGAAACAACTTTTCCAAACATCATCTGAAGGTACATAAATCTTACTAATCGTTTCTTCTAGAATCTATTTTAGGAATATATATATATATATATATATATATATATATATATATATATATATATATATATATATATATATATATATATCATTTTTTTATTATTTGGAAAATAATATTGAAGGTTTTTGCAGATTCTCTTCACCAAACAGATGGTAAGTCGGTTAAGAAGCAAAAAAAATGTGTTGATGCAGCAAACGTGAACAACAAACCCCGTGTTGGTTCACGAGGAAAAGACAAGTAGTTGTGCTCCATGTCATGCAGTTTCAGTAAGGTATATATGTAATATCATGGATTGTCTATAAATTATTTAGTATTTCCTATATTCAATATTTATTTATGCTTTTTGAACAATGTCACAGGAAATATGATTAACTTTTGAGGCTCTGCCATATTTTCTACAAAAACTTCGGAGAGCTGGCGTGCTATGTAAAAATGTTTGCGACAGTTGTCTTCGCGATATTTTGTTACATCATGGGTTGTTACTACCGTGTATTTTGTTGAAACCTTTTGAAGAACTGCTACTTTTGCCCCTTTTGAAGAATTGCAGCTGTCGCCATTACTTCAAATATGTTGAATATCAATGTCCCTTCTAAATATGTTTACAACTATGTAAAGTTGTTTATGTAAATATGTTTATTGAGCTTTTATTTATATTATAAGTGTTATATTTTTTGCTTAACCATTTAACAAATTTAACATACCAAAATGCATAATTCATACACTTTTCATCAACAAATTTAAATAAATTTTAGTAAACAATGTGAAACTTAAACTTCATTGCTTAAAGTACCGCCGCAACGCGCGGCCATAAAACCTCGTTTGGAAACAAAGCAAATGATGATTTATATTTTAATATTTGTTTTGTGATTTATGGATTTGTAGGATTTTGATATTTAAATATTAAATAAAGTAAACTAAATTTAATACTTATTATTATTTATTATTTGATTTTAAAAAATGCTATTTAAATTATAAATATTTAAATTCATGTTTATTTATTATTGGGTAAATATTAATGTTTAATATCTAAAATATATGTTAAAAATATAAGATAAAGTTAAGTGACATTATAGTGATGTAGAAATAATTTTAAAAACTGGTATGAGGATTTTATCTAATTCCACATTTAGAAGAAAAAGAGAGGAGAATGGTTGTGGAAAAAGATAGGTGTAGTGAATATAGGTCAAACTTAGGAGTGGTCGAAATGTGATGTGTTGAGTTGATATCTCAACCACGTCATTTTTTATAGTTACTATAATTAATGTATCAAATATAAAAATAAATTTTGAAGACAACATTTACATTTAGTTAGGTTTTTATATAGGGTTTATATCATTTTTGGTCACTTAATTTTTGGTTTTGTGTTCATTTGATCACTTAATTCTTTTTAAGTTTTAAAAGGTCATCAAACTTTTGATTTTATGTTCATTTAGTCACTTAACTTTTGTTTTGGTCATTTATCTTTTTGATTTGTGTTCATTTAATCACCTAACTTTTAAAATTGTACTCATTTAGTCACTAAACTTTTGAAAAATTTTAAATGCTAGGTGACTAAATATGACAAAGCTAAAAGTTAAGTGATTAAATGAACTCAAAGCCAAAAGTTTGATGATTTTTTAAAACTTAAAAAGAATTAAGTGACCAAATGAACACAAAACCAAAAGTTAGGTGAACAAAAATGATCTAAACCCTTTTATATAATACAACTTATAAGCTAACTGTTTTATTTTATTTATTTATTTGATCGGAACATATACTCGTATTTGTGCTTTTTCCCTCTTATAATTATAAGAGTAATCATGCTTAATTAAAACTATCCAAAATACTTAAATATAGCTTTCAATGTAATCCTCGTATTTTTAAGCAATGATATTTTATGCCATGATATCTATAGGAAAAGAAAAGGAAAAAATAAAAGCTCTTAGAGTATATCCAAAGCAAATTGTATCTGTCAAGGCTGTTAGGGAGTCAAGCAGTAAAATGCTTTCAGGTCAAATAGTCAAATAGTCAATCTTTTTGACCACCTACAGTGCCAGTGAAAGCCTGAAAGGGTCGGCCAGGGTACCCCTACCCCTTTCTTGCCCTTATTTACTTTTGTCACGTGATTTTAGTCATCATCTTGTGTATTACAATATATTCATTCACACGAAAGATCCATCGAATTAAATGAGTTATATATAATATATCAAATGGAACAATGTTCACGTTAATGCTAGTAATGTGCAAAAGTTGTCGAACCAAAATAAGCGAATAGAGATTCAAATAGAATAATGCAAACTAGAAAGCTGCTCTATCAACTGAAAAAGAGACACAAATTAGGTCGTTAAAAGTATATTCTCCACGAACCATTTTGTATATTTCATTGAGTATATATACAAAGCTTACAAGATAACTAGCCTGTCGTTGATATTACAAAACACTATCAATACAAATTAAAAACAAAGATAAATCCTATCTATTTAGTTTAGGGAATGGTTAATAGGACTTTTTATTTGAACATTTTAATGAAAAACAAAATGTATGTCAAATTTTATGTGTTTGGTTTGGTTTGGTGATGTTGAACCGAATTACACACTAGCTGAAAATTGGAGATTTTCCAACACGAATTTCTAGTGGAAATGTGTACGAAACAAGTAATACTGTTACATTTCCAGCAAAAATAATTCCATTGGAAAATGTCTTGGAAAATATTTTCGACAAATTCGATAACTTTCCAACAAAAATATTCTCTTGAAATACCGATAAATTTCCTAGTTCCTATCCGGCTACCCATGATATTTCTTAATGTTCCCATGCTTTTCCTACCAATATATTCGGCCGCACGTCCAACCACAAATTTTCCGAAACATTTCTAACAAAACTCTTTTTGTAACATGTTGTAATGACATTATTCAGTAACAGATTTTTCAACAAATTTCCGACCAAAATTAAATCTAGACTTTTACAATGCAACCCTCACAATAAATTAGCAGTTACTAGAAGTAAAATAGACACAAAAAATCTAGATTTTTATGGGAAAAAAAATGAAATCCAAACGATGTATGTATTCAAACATTAAGACAAAATACATAAATATAGCATTTGTTCGTTACAACACAAGTTTTAACAATAAAAACGTTAAAATATTAATCACAATAAACTAGGAAAAATTTGGTGGTGAATTGTAGGGCAAAACATGGTACGATATCAATTGATTTTTACTCAAACCGTGTACAATATCAACTATAGTTGGTATAAATTTTTTGCTACCAGTACCGTACCAACTATACTTGGTACCAACTTGTTTGGCTACCAACAAGTTTGGTTGGTACAAATTCGTAATGGTATATTACCCACTTTGATCTAATTTTCAATTGTAATACTTAAAGACCAGTCACGATATGAGACACTTTTCTCGTCTAGTAATATAAATTAGTAACTTAACTATTCTATTTACTAAGAAATTTTAATTAGTAACTTTTTAGTTTTTTTTAATCTAATGTGGTAATAACTATTGACTAAGTCTAATGTCTAATATTATATTTTTAAAATCATAACCAATGAACACCTGACATTTAAAAATACGATTTCGATTATATATATATATATATATATATATATATATATATATATATATATATATATATATATATATATATATATGAATTGATTGGTACGGTAATACCGTGGTATTTAAAATTTAATGACATTATCGTACCAAGTTTACTGAATTAGTACGGTACTACCAACCAAACATGTTGGCTACCAAATATATTGGTAACCAACTTTCTTGGTTTGGTTGGTAACATGTTGGTTAGTTCTCTGTGGTACATATTTAACAGCCCTAGTGAATTGACCAAAGGGTTAAAAATGCATCTAATGAACTCCGCCATTTGCTTTGCATTTGTTGCATGACTTGCATTTGAGGGAAGTTTCTCTCATTTTTTATCGGCCGTATCTTCATTTTTCTTATTTTTCTTTTGCTCATCTAAAACCCAAGGAATGGGTGAGAAGCCCTTCCCTCACTTTTTTTCTATTAAATAAATTTAATTTTTTTTTATGATTTATATTTTTAAATTAATACTAAACATAAAATTTTGATTAAAAATAAAAAGCATTTCATTAATTAAAATAAAAATTACATTAAACCTAATATTTAAATAAGGAGAAAAATAATTAATATCCTAATTTTATATAAACCAAAATACGTCACTCGGAATCATCGTGTTCTTCATCGCCCATATCGTCCTCGTCATCGTCTTGATCGTCTTCATCATTCTCCCCAACGTCACTCTCGTCGTCGGAATCTTCACTCTCGACGAACATATCAGAATCCTCGTCTGATTCGTCAAACAAATCATCGTGAGGAAACTCTAACGGGGGCTGAATATGAGCCCTATAAATGTGCTCCACCAAATCAGCATGAAGGACGTGATGAATATCGCGATTCTGTACTTCTCTTCTATTTACCCTATACTTTTGTGTACCAACGGCTACTCCTTCGACATTTGATAAAACTTCATTTTCGTTGTACCGGCATATCGCTCTTCCTTCGTCTATAGGAATCATATTATGCAATATGATACGTGCATACATTACGTGTTGTAACCTTTTCACCTCATATGACCTTCGTCTCTTAAGTACACCAAATGTTCGCTCCATATCCTTCCTAGCTGACTCTTGCGCATCTTTAAACTTTTTCCTTTTCTGGTCGTTAAGACGTGTAAACGATTTCACAAAAACAGACAAGAGAGGATATATGTCACACCCCAAAACCAAGAACGGCGGAAACGTTCTGGGGCGGAGGACGTCATGTAAAGTATCACAACACAGTAAATGTAAATAAGCAAACAACATCATCCATTGCATTAAATATATAATTTTAATACAAGTGTGTTCTATACAGTTATAGACACCAAAAATACTGTAGATCAAAATAATAAGATGAGTCTT